GCGGCCAGGGGCGCGGGCGACCCGAGGGGGGGGGCGCGGGGGGACCAGCGGCCGCGCCCCCCCTCTCGAGCCGCGCTCCATCCAGCGCGGGAGCTCTCGCGCGGCAAGGGCAAGGGTCGAGGTCGCGGGCGTTTCCGCCACTTCCCGCTCCGAGGGAGCAGCCCCGCTCACGCCCCAGAGCCGCCGGCAGCAGCGCCTCGGGCCGAGGAGGCACCCGCCGCAGCGCCCTCAGGCCCCCGCGCGCGGACTCCGTCTCCCCAGACGGAGCGGACCCCACGGGGAGACAGCCTTCACCCGCGCCGAGTTGTATTAGCGGGGAGCCCCGAGCGCCGTACCTTCAGGCAGGACGAGCCAGCGGCGGCGGCGTCGGCCCCCCTGGGAGCAGGACGCGGTCGCCCGAGACGCCGCGGCGGCAGGGGGCGCAACGCAGGGAGGGCCAACGGCTCGCGGCCCCGCCCGCCTGGCGGCCGCGGGGCTGGCCCCCCGGCGGCGGCGCGGTGAAAGCCCGCGGCGACGATGCCCTTGCTGATGACGCCCGAGACGCAGCAGCCGCTTCGTTGCAGGCTGCTGCGCCGTGCGGACCGCCTGGGGCTTCGCCGTCGCGCTCGCTATCTGACCACTGCGCTGCGACCCCGCTGGAGTTGCCGCCTGCCACTGCTGACGGGAACTCTTCTCGACACGATCCACTGGAGAACTGGAGAGGGCTTACTGGGGCTTCTGGTGACTTGCTCCGTGAGCCTTATGACGTGGGCCCGATCCTTCTCAACCTCGCCAAGGATTTCCCTGGTTCATTCGGTCGCTACTTCCGTGACTCCATCAAACCTCAGCTGCGCGAGCACATGGCCACCATGGGAGGTCGGCGGCAACGTGACTTGCTGCCGTTACCGTACCCTACCATCGTGAAGACCGACGTCGCGTGCGACGGCGTTGACCTTAGCGATTTGAACTGGGAGAGGCCCGGCTGCAGGCTGGCTGTCACGGTGCTGGCGTTCAACGGGGAGGCAGGCTTCCACTCGCCGAAGTTCGCACGCCCCTGCCGCAGGCGCCCGAGTGCTGCTCAGCGGACAGCCTGGGCTGCCCTGAGTCGCCCCCTGTACCTGGCGACCCGCATCGAGGCCAGCCTGCCTGCAGAGCGCAACTGGGAGGACTGCCTGAAGGACTACGAGAACGGCTACGGCGGCGCCGAGATCACCACCCCTCATGAGCTGGCCGCGGAGCAGGTGCTGGACAGCTTGCCGCCGCCTGGGGTTGCGGCCTCGACTGAGGCTGCCGAGGTCGCGACGGGCTTCGTGCGCGACTCGTTGCTGGATTCTGGGCTGGTGCTGCCGCCGCCTGCGCTGAGCCGCGCGGCGCCGACTTCGGCGCGGGCCCACGACGCCCCTGTCGAGTGCCAGGACGGGGTGCTGAGGCCCGTGCTCAGGCTCATCTCCGATCTGATCCCGTCGAACGCCTGCCAAGAGTGCATCATTGGCGGCGCGCCCGAGGTGCCGACGATGAGCCAGCTGAACGGCCTGGTCTTCTCAGGACCTGGTGTGGAGCGGCGCCGACATGAAGGCCTTCTTCTTCTACGCCTTCCGCGCATTGCCGCCGTGGTGGCCGCGCGCGGGGGTCGGGCCGCCAGCGCCGTCGCGCCTGCTGGGTCTCAAGGACGGCGGCGCTGTCTACATCTGCCTGCGCGTGATCGGCATGGGCTGGTTCAGCGCAGTGGGTGTTGCGACTCATCGTCATCGCAACACGCTGCGTCGCAGCGGCGCGGTGCCTCGCGGCCTGTGCCCCGGCTGGGAGATTGCCCGGCGCCGCCGCCTGCCGCTTGATGCAGAAAAGCCTTGCCCGCCTGCCTGGGTGATGATGGGCAACTTAGAGATCGCCGAGGCCGTTGATAAACCTGAGGCCGACAAGCTGCGCGTGGCGGTCCCCGCGCTGCTGTCCGACGCTCGTGCCTGCTGCGAGGCCACAAGGTCGCCTGGGTCCCCAGGCAAGGACGTGCACCGCGTGGTGCGCGCTGCCCCGCTGGGCGAGCTTGTTGATGGCGTTGAAGGTGTCCGTCGGCCGCCGGCGGGATACATCGCTGTCAAGGCCAGCCTCACGCTCTGGGTTCTGGGCCAGAGGCGGGCCAGCATGCAACTGGAACGTATTATTCCTGGGCGCTGGGGTCGCGGGCAATGCGTCCGCCGCCCGCCGGCCGTGACCTTCGCTTACACTTGGAAGTGGCTCAACGACCCGGGCTGTGGAGGCCGCTTCAGCGTGAGCTTGATTGAGGACTGGCTGATGCGCCTGGCCTTGTCGGGGCGCTGCGTGGTCGACATGTGGCTCGAGGTCGACCACCTGGTGACCACCTCGGACGCCTCGAGGTCGCTGGTGCCGTGGTGCGCAGCACGGCGCTTGCCGAGCGTGGGCGCGTCGTCGCGGGCAGATGCCAGCTACCCGCGATCGCCGCCCGCGAGGCTGAGACCGCCCTGATCACCGTTTTTGATGGCATCGGCGGCGGGCGCGGAGCCCTCGAGATACTGGGCTTGGTACCAGCGGTTCACCTGTCGTTTGAGGTTGACCCGCAGGCGGCCCGCGTTGCGCGGCGCGCTTGTCCTGACACGCACCTCAGGGATGTTACATCTGCTGACCCTGCTGCCTTGGCTAGCCTACTGCGGGCCCGCGGCCGCATTGCCCGCGCGGTGGTCATCGGCGGCTTCCCGTGCCCGATCTGCATGAGCTTGAACGTCGACCGCCAGGGCGCGTCGGACTCGCGCGCCTCGCTGGTCGATCACGCGGCGAGGATCATCCGAGGTCTGCGCGCCGCCGCGCCCGAGGTGAGCGTTGACTTCCTTGGCAAAAATATTGCATTAGTGGCAGAGTCCGACGTCCTTTACCTCAGCGGGTTATTCGGAGGGACCTCCTTAGAGGTTGAGGCTGGTGACGTTGGCGGGGTGGGCCGTCCTCGTCTCTCCTGCCCGTCCTGGGACTTCCTGCCGTCGTGCGAGGCCAAGACCGTGATGGTGCTGACCAAGGACGGGGCCTCTCGCCGCCTGCACCGCGTGTCGCTGGAGGTGGGGCGCCCGCCGCTGGAGGAGTGGCCGCCGCCCTACCAGTTCCATGACAAGTGGTGCGTTCATTGGCCTGACGAACGGACCAACAGTGAGGCGGAGGCCGAGCCCGTCAAGTACGAGGGATTGAGGCGTTCGCTGGTCGGCAACTCGTTCCAGTGCGTGGTGGTGGCGATCCCGCTGGCGCACTGGGCCGCCGCTGCTGGGCTGCTGGTGGCGGTGCCGCCGCTCTCCGAGCTGCGCGAGAGCGCTCGGGCCTGGGTTGGCGGGCGCAAGCTGCGGGGTAGCGACGCCACCTCGCTGCGACGCAGCCGTGCGAAGGTCGGCTCGGAGGTCTTCGGCGAGCTGGTGGCCCGCAGCACAGCCGCGCCGAGCGAACGCCAGCGGGCGGGTGAGCAGCCCGCCGCGGCGGCGCCGGCGACGGGCGGGAGCCTCGTCTACGTCGTGCGCGGCTCGCGGCGCTGGAGCCTCGCCCCGTCCTGTTTCGACGACCCGTTCGCAGTGTGCCCGAGCTACTCCCGCGAGGGCGCGGTGGTGCTGCTTGCTGGATGGCCGAGCGGCCTGCCCGAGCTGCTTCGCCACCTGGGGGACCTGCGTGGGGCCAAGCTGGTTGGCCGCTGCAGTCATTCCAAGACATGTCATGCAGATGTGCTGCTCGCAGCGCTGGCCAGACGAAATGCTACGTCCTGGTGTGATTCGGATGTCTCGCGTAGGCTGGTGACCAGTCTTGCGATGACGTGCCGCGGTGATGGTGCGAACCTTCGTTGTGACAAAGGCTCTGAGGAGCTCAGCAAAGTTTTCCTTCGGCAATTGAT